TGTAGCCAGTGGTCCATCAATAACAATGCCCTACAGCTCATAGTTTTCTCTAATGATGTGATCTCTCATCCTGTTCTTCCACCAGGAGTAGTACTGATCGTTGAAGAGTGGTGGCCTAGCAGTGGATTGCTCTTCCCAGTTTCTAGGTGGTGCACTCATCTTGATCTTCTCAGGTGTTTGCCTCTTCAAGGATAACCTACTCTGATACCAATTGATATTTTAACTTCAATACCACACAAGAGGGGGGTTATTTGTGTGGTGTCCAATTTTTCGCTTAAACTGATTATGGAAGGACCTGGTTTTTCTAAGTGTTCCTTAACCTACTATTGCTGAAATAGTAAATGCGGAAAGTAAAGAACACAAGTATTTTTACGTGAAAAACACCTGACTCAAAAGGTGAAAAAACCACGACCTACTTCTTAGTAGGATTTTCTCAAACTCTCCACTAAATCACTGAGCCAAAAACTGCATTTACAAAACACTTTTGTAAACCTAGGATTAACTTTAATCCCGTTGTGGCAACCAGCCTCTAACTGTTGCGACAACTTCAAGTTAACTCTAACTTGAATACTCTGAGTACCTATTACAATTGCCTCTAGATAAAGCTGAAAGGTACAATATGAAAACACATACTACAATTGAACTAGAATAAAAGACAGACACTTGGAACTGGTTCTATCTGGTTCATGTAGTTTCAGGTTTGCACATTTGAATCACACACGAATTGCTTGCAAAATGCCTTGCTATTTTTCTCTCAACCTACGTTTAACTTTTGCTTTTGTGCGTGCCTATAAAACGAGAACATCCTGCTATATATAGAGTTAGTAGATGAAGAAATAACTAGAGTTCTAATGCTACTCTTCCTTAGTGGAAGAGTTCTAGTTGATCTCAACTTCTAACTCCTCCCTTATTTTGGATAGTGTTCTCTTTGAGTAAGGAGTCCTTCTCCTTATCAATTATGCAACCTTTTCGATCAGGAGATATCAATTATACCAAGTTAAGCTTATCTCCTTCTCCTTCACTTGCATCCCACATGCTCGAATCTGCCAGTGTCTATGCACACAAGGATGGACTTAGTTCATGCCTGAGCTTCCTTTGTCAATCTTCAAAACAAACTTTCACTTGGGCCAACACATAGAATATGTAGTACAAATAGAAAGAGTTAGCTCTCTAATATTATAATTTTTGTTCTCACCAGGAAGTGTGAGAGTATGATGGTTGCGGATGAATTGGGCATGATGAACCCGGAGCATGAGGATTACGAGCCAGAAACTGAATCAGAAGAAGAGGATGAGCAAGTTGTAAAGTTGGCTGAACCTTCAAAGAATGCTGTATATAACTGGGATGGTTTATTTGACAAGCTGAGAGATTTCGGTTTGCCTGATGGTTTGGATTGGAGTCGCAGGCTTAACTTCGACAAGAAGGAGGAGCAAGAAGGGGTGGATGTGAATGATGACTGTGCCAAGGATCTCTCTTTCTACATGCAAGCGTTGGAGGGTGTACGCCGAGCCTTTCTCAATTTTCAGTCAAAGGGTGAACCTTTTTTTAGACCCTGTGATTATATGGAAATGGTGAAGCCTGATACTCACATGGAGAAAGTCAAGGTCAAGACTCTTGGCTGAGATGAGGAAGATTCCGGAGGTTGCGGAGAGGAGAAAGGCCAGAGAGAACAAGAAACTGGCCAAGGAAGTAGAGGCACAGAAGATGAAAGAAAGGGCTAAACAGAAGAAGCAGGAAATTGAGTCTGTTAAAAAGTGGATGAAGAAGAGGCAGCAGAGTGGCTTCGATAAAAAGGGTGCTGGCAGCCTGGATTTGGCTATTGATGAAGATGGGACTAAACCCTTTCTGAGGTCAAATAAGAATAGACCCTGGTGTATCTCCTGGAGATCGTTCAGGAGGAAAGGCGACATTTGGTGGAAAAGGGAAGGGGCCAGGCAAAAAGAGGAAAACCAGGGAATTCAGGGACTCCAAGTTTGGATTTGGTGGGAGAAAAGGTTTGAAAAAGCAGAATACTGCTGAAACTTCCAATGATTTCAGAGGATTCCACAAGGGTTAATTTCTTGCAAATAAAAAACACGCCAAGTGATGATTCTGCTTATTACCTTCTAGACTTTGTTACAGTAGACTAAAGTTATTCCTCTGTGATGTGGATGAAATTAATGTTTAATTTAGAGCTTTTACCTATTAAAAAGAATGAATTATTGTCACTTATCGTTAAGATGTTTGCTAATTGATGCCTGTTTTTGCCTGGCCTTGAAATTTAATCATGTCTTAGCTTGTCTTCTTTAGTTTACCATGTATACTGCACAGAATAGTAACTTCTCCGTTGGATAGGAGTCTGTTTTTTTCTGTCATCTCATTTGTTTTCTTTTTTCAGTCTGCAAAAGTTGCTAGTTCTCTCCGTCTCAGACTCTCAAAGACTATGATTATTTCATTATTGCATTCACATTAGTTCTATCTTTCAGTAAATTTCCAGCTAAAAATTGATGAAACCGTGACTTTTTGGTCATCTGATACTTCTTTTATCAGGAAATCATGACCAGAGCTGCCCCCTGAAGCTCCATCCACGTTCAGTTTATAGTGTCCTGCCCTTGGAGCATACAACTTCACTTGTGTTGTGGTTATGTTCTTAGTTTTCCAGATCTTTCTGTTGGTAGAGTAAATTCAGTACTTCCCACAATAGTGTTTTTTTTTTTTTTTTTTTTTTTTTTTTTTAATTTTGTTTCTGAGATAGGGATTTTTTATCTATTAAAATAATCTCAGTTTTGAGTTAAATGAACAATAAGCTCGTACCATGTACTAAAATAATTATTGAAAGTGTCATTTTCTGCATTTGGAAAATCAGATCATGCGGAATGAGGAGATAACAAACGTAGAAGTGTCTCCTTATTCCCCAGTTTCAAGATATTTCGATTTTGGGGTAGATAGAGCATACTCATTAGGCATCGCGATTAAGCAAAGGATCTCATGGATCAGAAATACCTCTGCCTTCTAATAGAAAGGGATGTAATAACTTCCGGTGTTCAGTTGTAACTAAGCAAAATTTATTGGTGGATTTTAGCTTTAGTGGGTCGGATTGGGTGTATTGGCAGGTTTCCATATTTTGTTTCGGTGTTAATTATTTTAGGACAAGTTATACATTTGGGCGGTCGCTGATTACATCTGTTAGTCAAATATACACCGATTATGTATAAAATATGCATATTATACATTAATATACATTTACATGGTATTATTTTATAGAGCGACTGTATTATGTAATTTTTTCATTATTTCATCTGGACACATTTAAGACCACAAGTTTAATAGAAGGCCAGCTCGGTACACAAAGCATCTCACGTTCAATGTAGACAACCTACCCTAATGTAGACAACCGACCCTAATGCAAGTTTAAGGCCACAATGTTAATATTTCTCTTAATAAAAAAACGTTTATAATCACATAACTAATATGACATTATTAAGACCACAAGTTTCAAAGTTTTATATTCACACAAATATTAGGACATACATGAGGCAACAAAATTTTAAATTCTTCCATTTTATATGAAATGTTAAGTCAAAGGATAAACAAACTGAAATATTCTTATATGAATTTGGTTTCTTGAAATATATAAACTATATATTTAATTAGAAGATTACAATTAATACCAAAGTTGAATCTTTATTCAAGATGCTTAATTTAGTCAAAGGTATGGAAATGTCGTCCCCATTCTCTTACTATTGCTGTGATGAAACCTCCCTAAGGCTGTTCGCTCAAGAAATTTTTGCCAGAAAGGAGACGACGAAGACGACAACAATGTTAATTCTCTTAAGAAAAGGGATACTAGCAAGTTCCTAAAAGAAAACAAAGCTTAACTAGCAGAAGATACTAGAGGAACTTTATCAGAGATGAAATAGAAGATCTGATTTATTTGTTTCAGGTAGTCATCAAATTGACATAAGCAGAGAAAGCTGAATTAAGATGCAAGCAAAAATTTGAACTATTTTTTTGGAGGAGGAGTCAAATTGACGGAGTTAGCAGTCTTAGTTAAGTTGCTTTAGAACTGCAAGACCATAATTTATTTACTCTCGTGTTTGGCTAGATGTTGTCATGTTTAGCTCACAAGCTTTCCCTCTTGTTTGTTATATCTACACCTAGGCCTTCTATCATGCTAGTTAGTAGAATTTATATTCTTTCCAAATTGCTGTCATTATTTCTATGCCTCCTACCTAGTCTGCTACCGTTGACCATATGTACTGCCTTGTTCGTTATTGTTATCTGTGTATTTTTCACTTTGTCATTACTGTTATTGGCATTTCTTTCACTCGGTTGGTACTGTTATACATATATTTGGCGAGGATGAGATAAATGCACAAAGGGTGTTGCCGTGCCATTGACTTGATATCTTGAATACATTTCTCACACTATGAAAGTCATGGAGTTACTATCGTGGTTATTGGTTATCGCTCTAAGGAAAGGATTGGTCGAGATATTGGGAAATGCTAAATTGTAATCTCTTCTAGTACTCATTTATTGCTTCGCATATTCGTTTTGTGTACTCTTTTTTCTGTTATATTGTAGTATCATTCTATTGCTCGTTTACTGTGCAGGTTATATCGGTGAGTATCTTTTAACTAAAAAGTCTCGTCACTACTTCACCGAGGTTAGTCAAGATACTTACCGAGTACATGGTGTCGATTGTACTCATACTACACTTTGTGTGCAGATTTTTGGAGCGAAGCTGTGGTGGATGAGAGGGGCCGACTCTGAAGATGTTCGTGCCTTCCGGATGTGGCTACCACTTGTCCTTGGGTAGTTCTAGATTTGAATTATGTTTATGTACATTTCAAACAATAGTTGTATTTATTTCACATCCGTTTTTGCAATAATCCCGTCTTAGTAGCTCATTTCTGTTGTGTGTTAAAAACAGTCATCTATTTCTGCCTCTTAATTTGTTTTAAGTACCTTATTTGTTTTACATTCTGAATTATCCCTGCATATTCTCTTACATTCTGATAAGCACAAGCACATACAAAATTCACTTCATGACCGTCTGTAACTTAAACAACACAGATTGCAACTTTCCAGGCAATGTACTCTTTATGAAGAAAAAAAATTCATCTACATTACACTACAGTATCTGATATCGGGTAGTTATTCACAGGTGTAGTTTCCTGCCAAAAACAAAAATCAAATGCAAATTAGAGATAAATCCCAGTGCAATGAATAATGTTGTCAAGAGATCAATGCACAACTTTTCATCCATAATTTCTCAAAGATCCTTATGATATATTGATGGGTTAAAAGATGCCCTGTATTATCGCATTCATTTATTCGAACAAAGCAAACTCCAAAGGGAATCTAGTTACCAAACAATTTTTCTTGTAAAAAAACGAGAGAACGAAAAAGAGTTAATGCTCATCAAAACCACTAATATTTTGATTCAATAAGAGACTGGTCTACTAAAATATGTCCCTTTCAGCAGCTATTAAGCCTATCACAAGCCAGCTTACAAATGCATATAACCTATGAGCTCAGCAGGATAAATGCTCTCCTTTGACATACTCTCTGCTTCTGTAACTAAGAAGACAACACACATACAAATAATCCCTCTCCCCCACCCCCGGCCCAAGGAGAACGGGAAAACATCCTATACTTCCGATTTGCTGAACAGCAAATTATATCCATTTTATACCACTGTGTACATTACGCCGAGAACATCAGAAGTGCATATTTAACAGAACATGATTTCCCTCCTACATATTTCTATTTGGTCCAAGGGGCACAGGTGAGTATGATGTCATAGTAATGAAGTTCTCTCTTGGAAGCTGCTTAATAAAAGATTTTTTGACGTCAGCTTTTATGAACGATATCACTATTCATTAATATCTTCATTGCATCTCTCTGGGAAGCTGCTTTTCATTCTAGGATTCTGAACTTTATGAGGGAATCACCTCTTATATATTATCCACAAAAACAAGACACCTTTAAAATCCAAAGCCTTTGCCCCCAAGGCTTTGGCCTAGTGGTAAAAGTGCAGTGCGTGATGTGTGGGTTAGGCGCATATCACGCGTTCGAGCTCTACCAAAGACAAAATCTTGGTATTTAAGTGGAAAAAGGTTGAGAAGCGGGCACATCATCCACCGAGTTTCAAACCTTGCACTATTTGCCCTCAGGAAATTCTCAGTTATCAAAGAAAGGTTCAAAGCCTTACAAATATGCAATCTAGTTATCACTTACCAATACGGGTGAAGCTTTTTCACTAGAGACATGGAGATAATGGACTTCATTTTCCTTACAGAATAAGTATATTAACTATTCAAGTTTGCGTCGGATTTCAATTTGATGTGACACATCGCAATATACTTGAAACAGGTCCAAGCAATTCAACTTTTTATACTAGAATGCGGTCTGTAAATAATTATAACTGTATCATCAGTGTTGTATGCTCAAAAGTGCCCAGAAAAGGAAATAGCGAGCAAGTAACAGGAAAGAGGGAAGAAAACAGATAAGACAAACAACTGGTCGAAAAGAGAAAAGTTGCTGTAGCTGAAATTACTGTCCACTCGGAGAAATCAATTCATAAAAGGAATTTAGGATTTTGCCGAGAAATGTGAGCTAGCCAAGCCTATTACGTTAGATTTGGGCGATTCCAAAATCTAAAGATAGTACTATGGCTCCAAACATCTTTCTAATTGTAAGATATCAATTCATCAGTTTTTGAAGGAAATGGCTTAGTACATTGTAATTGTAAAGATTACAAGATCTGACTGAAAATGGTAAATAGCCTTGTCGATTAGTTCTCATGTCCTTCCTAGTAAAATATTGCGTGTTCGAACTTTAATCATTTTATACCGAGAAAGCGGGACCACCGTCTAAGCCTAAGTACTCTTCCATATCTGATAATTTACATACACGACGGGGATTGAAAAGACCATATTTAGAGTGATAGAGAACCTATGATGCAACCAGAACAGTCAATCCACTGAGCGGAGCTTACATCCTTTACTTTGTGTAAAGTGTGTTCTGATGGCGTACCAATCAAGATGTGATAAAGCTATTTTTCGCAAAATCTATATAAATAGGGTGTATGAAGTCAATGGCCCGAGCCAGAGCACTCAATGGTCTAGGGTGACCAGTTTCACTTAGGTGAAACAATACGTTAAAATAGAAGTAACTAGGGAAAACAAAAAGATAAATTTTATTTTCAAAACTCCACGCGCATACCCAATCCAAACTTAGGTGAAACAATACGTTAAAAGGGAAGTAACTGGCGGTACAACCACAACTTCCACTCCCTTTTCCCTCATTAGTTTTTATCAGTTTTACATCTAACAGCTTCAGAACAACTTCAAATGGCAGACAATAAAGGGCAGCAGCAGCCCAAAAAAATGAAAGACAATAAACCGAAAGAGATTGTAGTTCATACAAGTCACTAAGTCAAATTCGGCACCGCATGTGATGTCCCGCCTCAGAGAAATAAAAAAAAAAGCGAGCTGAGGTAAAATGAACTTCACAAATGATAAACAACGCACTCATAGATCAAGATAAAAAGTACAACAAGATTATCAAAGAGAATGATGAATCCTTTTACCTGTATAATTCAGACTTCTGGCGAAGAACCACTAACGCAAGTACTAGCTCAAATGTCAGACATTTGATGATGTCCTGGATTCCACGGGCCAATTTGTAGGTATGCCGGGATCAGGGGTTGGACAAGGAAACGTATCTTCATGCACATCTGACACAGGCTCAGAGCATTTTTTCCTTTTGCTGTACTTTAACAAACAGCGGTCCTCCTGCGCATTGCAGCTTTCGGCCTGCATTGTATTTTTTGCACAAATCTCGCCAACAGTATTATCTCCATCAGAACTCAAGGGGCACAAGGTGATAGAATCCCGCAAATGCAAGTTATGCTGTGAACCTTCTCGTTGAGAAACTTGAAGACCACAAAAATCTCTACAGTCATCACCAAGATTTTGCTCCGCTTTAATAAGGTCAGATAAACCAACCCTTTCTTCGCACATCTTCCTCTTTAGTCTGCTCCGCTTGTAAGTAAGTAACTCAGCTTTTGAACAATCAGAATCAACACAAGAACCATGCTCCTTCATTATAACACAAGGTGGGGCCTCTGAACTAATCTGGCCGACTTTTTCCTTCAACCTAGTGCGAGAGTACACCATAACACAAGGAGGGCCATCTGAAGTAGTCTTGCCAACTTTTTCCTTCAACATTGTCCGAGAGTACACTGTAACACAAGGCAGGGTCTCTGAAATAGTTCGGCCAACTTTTCCCTTTAATCTAGTGCGAGAGTACACCATAACACAAGGAGGGCCATCTGAAGTAGTCTTGCCAACTTTTTCCTTCAACATTGTCCGAGAGTACACTGTAACACAAGGCAGGGTCTCTGAAATAGTTCGGCCAACTTTTCCCTTTAATCTAGTGCGAGAGTACACTATAACACAAGGCTGGGTCTCTGAACTAGTCTGGCCAACTTTTCCCTTTAATCTAGTGCGAGAGTACACTATAACACAAGGCTGGGTCTCTGAACTAGTCTGGCCAACTTTTCCCTTTAACCTAGTGCGAGAGTACACCTTAAGCCTCTCACCTGAATCATTAGAGAGAGTCTGGCCCAACTCTAACAAATTACAGGACACATTACTTGATTCCAGCATTTCTGGAGCATCCACATAGCTGGAATTCGTAGGGCATAAGGTTCTTGAAGTTCGTGGCGAGCTGTTCATGGCGCGATGCAATTGAAACGCCAATTCTGCGTCATTTACAACCTCAGTTTCATTAGTATCATCACTGCTTATACTACTGCTTTTCAGCAACACTTTATCCTTATCCTTCTTGGAAGCAACTAATTCCGATGCATTCTTAGCCATGTTCATGGCATTTTTTGCCACGACAGCCTTCCGCAAAGTCTTATACTGCGCTTCCAGCGCCAGTACAACTGTCTTTTTGGCTTCAAAGTTACTAATTTCTTCAAATGGTTTAACATAACTACTAGTATAATTTTGTGTCTTCAACACATGCTTTTTACAAACCCCAATTGATTTCCTAAAGAATGTTGGAACCCAACAATCTATACAAACCGAAAATCCCGACTTTACCCCTACTTCTTCTTCTTCTACTACTTGTTCTTCGTCCCTAGACGAATAAGACCAAGGTGCAGAATTCCCATACCTGATAACACAGTCCTTGTGGACATGCCTTTTGCAGCTGTTGCATTTGAAACAATCAGAATCAGCCGTGTTGTTGAAACAGTAAGGGCATGTTTGGCCGGAATTGACACTCCTGATGCACTTCTTGCAAAGAAGGACTATCCGCCAAACGCTATCTAGGGTTTGAAGGCGGTCGCTGGGATCAGTGTGGTTGATTCGGAGACGGCAGCCGTGACAATCTGACAAATTGGGGAGGTCCCTTGTGACCCTTTTGGGTAATTGATCGAACGCGGATGATGATGACGAAGTCGAATTTGTGGAGTGAATTGGGGCGAAATTTTTGGGGTTCGTTGAAGGACTAGCGGTGGAAGATGGTGGTGGAGGTGGCGGTGGACGCGGCGGAGGATGGCGGAAACATTGTCTGTTTTCTTGATGCAGCGAAGGTGTCATCTTCAGGAGATCGTTAGGTTTTTGCGCCATAACCGTATTTTCTCATCGTTTCGAGTGGTAGGTTCACATAAACCGGCCGGACACGGTAATAACTCGTCGCTTTTTTTTCACCGTAATACATCATCGTTTTTAATTCTGTTGGGTGTTGGTTTAGTTAAAAAAAGGAAATGCAAATATCATTTCATGAATAGTATAAGGTACTCATAAAAATAGTATTTTCGATTGCATGTTTATTAGAGTGCTGAAGAGCAAATATTTTCCTAATAATTCAGTCCTCAATGCCTTGCATCATCCAAATGTTGGATATGATGAAGTATATTCTGGAGGTTTGAATTGTTGATTAAGTGATTGAAGTGGAGGGTCACCAATAGAGAAAGTGTAAATGTATACAAGGATCTTTCGATATGAATTTGAAGGTTTATGAATGAATGAATTAATTAATTAATAAGAATGTGCACGCAAGGAAAATACAAGAGTTATAACATAGGCTTTTTGATCCGGAAGGAAGATGTTAATGACAGGAACAGAAGATAGATTAATATGACATTATACAAAATCTAAGAACTATGTATAAGGTAAAATTGGGATGCTATATTAGGAAATGAGATGTTTAATGGTAGAGATTGAAGTTTTTCAAATATCCAATTCATAAATTCTTTTGTGATTTCCTTAAGACACCGGGGATTGAAATAAGCTTAAACATTTTTTACCCGTAAATGATGACTTGCTAAGTGAATGGGGGATGGGTTGTGTGAATTTGTCCTTCTGGAGAACAAGAATGTGGAACATATGTTATTTAGGTGCCCTTGTTCTCAACTTGTGTGGAAATTGAGTAAGAATAATTAGGATGATTTTGGAGAACATTAGGTGTACCTTTTCGTGTGCTGGTATCTGTTGGTCTCAAATACTAGACTTTTAAAAAAAAAATCAGCAGAGATACTCATTTTTAGTGTCATAGTTTTATGTTACGTACAGGTAATCAATGTACAAAAAGAACAAGAATGTAGAAATGATCATGCAGGTAATTACTAATTAGTGAACTTTTAGAACGATGGTCTAAAGTTATCAAAAAAACTGAATTATCTAAAAATAACAATAACCAAACTTTTGCCGATCCAAAGCTCAAAAAGATTTTTAGAAGGTTAAAAGGTCCGTTAAGCGCCTTAAAGCTATATCATAATAGATCCGAACACTTGCCCCAAATCACTTCCGGATCATAATTGTTCTAGTAAATAACTAAAGAAAACAGATAGATGGAAGATAGAGAAATAGAAGCGAAACGAACTAATTATAGAAATAACTATCTATCTTTAAGTTTCACTAATTATTTGAATGTTGGCAGGTCTCTTTGTATGTGTTGTCCGAAAAAAGGACTCGATGATTATTTATTCGCCAGAACCAGAAGTTAAAATTTTGGTAGAAAGGGATCCCATAAAAACTTGTTTCACGGAATGAGTCATACCGGGTCATTTCTCAAGACTAATAGCTAAAGGATCTGATACTACCACATGGATCTGGACCTTATATGTTGATGCTCATAATTTCGATAGTTATACCTTAGAGGAGATCCCTCGAAAAGTATTTAGTGCACATTTCGGTCAACTCTCCATCATCTTCTTCGAATAAGCATCATGTATTTCCATGTTGCTCATTTTCCTAATTATGAAGCGTGGCTAAGTGATCCAACTCACATTGGGCCTAGTGCCCAAGCGGTTTGGCAAATACTGAAACAAGAAATATTAAATGGTTTTGAGGAAGAAAATTTTACTTCCTATAACAAAGGTATACACCCTATTTATTATAAACTAAAATCATTTTAAAATATTATTTTCTATAGCTACCTTTTATATTTTATAGCAAAATAGGTATTTATGGTATATACTACAATTGAGGCATAAAATACACTATTTATGATTTTCTTCTCTCTTTCTTTCAATTAACACATGATTCTCTCTCAGAATTTTTCTTCTTTCTCTCTCTCTCTCTTCCTTCTCCCTCTCTCTCTTCTAAGATAATATGCTGCGTTTCACTCTCTTCAAATCTTCTGTTATCTAATGTGCAACTATATAAAAGACATTCTTATGGAAGCTACATATTGGAGTTTCTCCTTTTTTTCCTACCTTCTTTAGCTATTTTATGCCTTGAAACTTCCTTTAGATGAGATAATTTATAACAGAGAGTTTCTTTTGTTGTTTAATTATTGCAAATGGCCTCTTACATATTTCTTTCTACTCAATGTGATCTCTCTCTTCTCTCTCGTCGCTCTGAGGCTAAGGCCACTGTACGGGAAGCAAAAACGATATTGGAATAATCCGAGTAGAGCATGGGTATGGTAACATGAACGACTGATACTTCAATATTTTCTATGCCGGAGAAGATTTGAGGGCCTTCATTTTTGTTCGCCTCCATTTTCAGTTTTAATATAATGTATACATCAGTAATAACATGTATTAGAAATAACTAAAATACTGTTAATACAAATACATTTGAATACACTGAATATAAAATAGCGAATACAGTAAATACAAACATTGAATCTAATGAATGCTACACTAAAAAATATATATATTGAAACACACTAAATACAACAGTTATATACAACTGAAAAATTATTCCAATTAATTGGGTTGATAATGAGGCATGTTAGAATTGATTTTGTTGAGTTATATTAGGAGTGTATCACGTTAATTAATATTATTTTCGTTATTAGGCAATTGGACAGACCTATTTTTAAGGTGATTGTCGTTACTGTATTCATGAATACATGGCGCGAAAGGTTGTGCATAATTTGGTAAATACCGAATTGCCATACTGAAACCGAAATTTTTTGTATTAGGTATTCAATATTTTGGTATTCGTATGATATTTGATTTAAGCTTAAAAANATATATATATATTTATATTTATTCTTTAAGTTCATAAATCAACTCTAAGCAAGGAACAAGACATTTCTAATGATCAAATTTATTCCTCTATGTATAATTTTCTCTCTCTGGGTTGATATTTGCTGGTTTTTGACAAATCTTTTGTCAACAAATGTTTTTAGTTTTGTACTTTTGAGTACTTTAATTAAGAATATTACAGTCTATGACTCTTGCACTAGTTAGTATTCAAACTGAATAAACCGAAGTTACCGAATCGAATAAACCAAAATCGAAAGGAGAAAAACCGAACTTATACCGAATTTAATTAGGTACGGTATTGGTATAGCATTTTAAGAAATCGAATACCGAAAATACCGAACCGAAATATCTAAATACCATACCGTACCGACCGAAGAACACCCCTAGCATGAATACATGTGAATACATACGCGTACAGCTGGACTGCCCTAATTTTAGGCACTTTTTGTTGTTGTATTCATGAATACAGCAGCGCGAATACACTACCGTAACAAGTGAATAGTAATTATAGGAAGTTATTACGTATATGGTAGCTATAAGAAGTTAATAACTACTAAACAATAGCAGTTTATCAAAATTCCTCTTTGAGGAATACGCTGTGTTTTTTCAAATTCAAGGAGCATATGAAATAACTAGTGAATTAAACTCTGTTGTGTAGTTATTGGGGCATTGATCTTGTAGCGTTAAAGATGCAGAAGAACAATAAAGAAAAGTATGACCAAACTTTAGACATGATGAGCTAAAGTTGTCCGTAAGGGCTAGAATAAATTTTGTAGTGCATGGATTGTCTTTGTAAAATAGAGAGAGAATATAAAGAGTAACCTCAAAAGAGGCTACTTGTGCACTTCAGCCCCTAATCAGTACGTATGTAACGTTCACCATGTCCATATGTCCATATCCCTCAACTTTAGCTGATTCTAGGTTCTACCGCAGCTGGACAGACTCTCTGGAATTCCCCGTCGGCAGGCTCAACTTTATTCTGTAAGACTGTGGTGTCATTTATGGGGCCCAATTAATTGGTCAATGCTTCACATGTCATCATGTGCCTAGGATTTTTATGTTTTTCTTCTTTAGTTTTTGGCCGTAATTTGGATGGAAAAAAGTACAATGACACAACCAATTAAATCAACGCATATTTCTAGAGCAGGTAATTCAAGTCGATACTAAGGAATACAGAAAAGAATCTTGTTGTAACTTGGCTATAATGAGAAGAAATAATTGATTGTGACCGCATACAATAAATTTGCATCTAAGAAAATAAAATTAAAATCGAAAAATATTATAACAATCGTAGTATTTAAATTCAAATAATTTGAGTGTACAATCTCTATGAATTCTCTTATTCTTCTTTTCAACAGTAAATAAAAGAGCCCCCAAGCTTAATCTTGAATTTTAATTTATTTTAATCCAAGTGTTTGAACCTTGATCTTGATCTTGATATATTTTTAATCCAAGGGCTTGCAACTTGTTCTTGAATCTTCGTCTTGATCTTTATCCTTAGAACACTTGAATGCTTGTAGCTTTTAGAGAAATCTGCAGTGTTTGATCCACGAGCTCCCTCTTACTTCTTGTTATAACTTCTGGCCTCTTTTCTGGGTTATGAAAATCCCTATTTATAGTTGTGGGAGGGAAGAGTTATGATAAGAATAAACTCTTTCCGACCAATCAGATTGAAGAGTGACAAGACCGCATTTGATTGGCCAGAACATGTCACTTGCACATGTGGCACGGTTTCATTGGCCTTTTAATTTGACTTGGCATGCCTTGTCATTTTGACATGTGGCATGATCCCATTGGCTCTTCCGTTTGACTTGGTGTGCCATGTCATTTCACGCGTGGCACCAAAGTGGGCCTCTAGGAAGATGATATATTGGGCCTGATGAAGCGGGCTCATTATTTGTAGCTAAATTAAATTGGCTAGCTCAATTATATTGGACTTATATAATTAATCTAATTATATTAGCCCAAAATATTTATTTAGTCTAATATATTAAAATATAGTCCATGTTATTTTATGGATTTTATTCCGATAAAATTTATATGCCTACAAATGCCCCTACTTCAAGGTTTGTCGTAATGTGACTTACCGAGACTTGAAGACAAGACTTAAAGTACAAATATAACATACTTTTTCCCGAGCAGAGTTAACATTTTTTACCCAGGCAAGAACCTTTGGTTGGACGAATTTAACCTGGGATATGGTGTTTTATACTCCAAAAAAAAAAATGGTCTTCAATTCAAAGCGTGGCAATTGGCAGTAAGCCAACTTAATTTGAAATTTTGTTGGACATTTTCTATTGACACAACGTTGGCATCCACTTTGGGCCATACTTGAAAATTTCATATTC